TTTATTATTTGGAGATGTGCATAAAGTTACTGCTCTCAAGCCTGGGTACAAAATGACATCAGAAGGGGCTTACAGATACTGAGACCTCACTGATTTGTTCAATAAATATTTGCAGAGGACTTGGTATTTGCCAAGCACTGAGCCACATGGTGAGAAAAAAACAGACTCATCTTAAGTTTGCAATTTTATCTTTACAGACAAGAAAAGAAGTGATTATAACATAGCGTGGTTAAGTAGTCTGAATGAGGAAATGCAGAACATTCGAGAGAGGAAACAAAGCTGTATTTAGATGGTCAGGGAAAGCTTCCTGGAGGAAGTTGTATGTAAATTAAGACCTAACATGTAGGTACAAGTTAAACATGAAGGTGGGTTAAGTATGGATTGTGATGGGTTCAGCATGGGTCAAGCAATGGAAGGTGGGAGAGAATGTTACCAAAAGTCACAGCTTGTTGTGAACATTCATGAGACAGAAGATATGTTGTTCAAACTGACAGAAATCCCATCTGACCTCTAAGGGTGGAGCATAAGATTAGGAGAGGAAGGCCAGATATTGAATGACCTTGTAATTTATACTAAGGAATTGAGACTGTATCCCAAGAGAATTGGGGAGCCATTAAGCTGGTGATCATTTATTTGCATTTAGAAAGATCACTTGAAACTATAAATCTCTTCAATCATATCTTTCCTTTATGTAAGTTTAGATAAGGAATATGAATTGTTTAACACTTGAAAACCTAAGATAGTGAAGGTACTTTGCTGGTTGTGAGATCCTAAGCAATGACCATATTAATATACTTCTCTTGCATTGTGCTTTGCATTCCCCACTTCTGTATCTCCATCACCCAAGCAAACAGTTTCTAAGGAAAAGGGAAAGTGGGCATACAGCACTGTGTCCCCCTGCCTTGCAGGGCTGGGGATGCATTAAGCTCCCAAAGGTAAACAGTTCATTTGTAAACATTTTTATTACTGGGTCAATTATTTGACAGGAACATTGGAATCTATTGGTAGAAGTGTTCTCAAGTGTGATAACAAAAGACAAGTGTTTCATTTCATGTATTTTTATGATTAATGAACCCCTTTTGAAAGCTAAAGCTGGAAGATGACTAAAATCCATTCCATAGCACATACAGGATATCTAAGCTATTCTATATATTCGAGTTGATCTAGAATATAGAGAAATTCAATTTATGAAAAAATTACCCTGGTTTTAAAACTATATTGTTAAACCCAAATATTGGCTAATTAAATTATGTAAAGGAAAAATAAAATGTTTCAGAAATCAAAATTCTTTAACGTAACATAAGATAATTCCCTACGTGTAGTTTGCCATCTAGTGTTGATTTGTGGAAATAAAAAAGGCTGTTAATTTTCAAGCCAGGCTCACCAGGAGGCAAAGGGATGACTCAAACCATTTCAATTTTAAGACATCAAATTATATCATGAAACCCTCTGAGGTTTGTGGAGGTGGGGGACTAGTGGGTGGATGGCTGACTTGGCTACTTCTAAGAAATCAGTTACTTCTGGGAAGCCTAACATTGTAGCTAATGGGTCTCAATTATGGCTCTCAACAGATCACTTAGGACCCTTTTAAAAAATACTGATGGTTGCACTGCAGATCTAATAAATCAGATTTACTCAGGTGGGACCCAGTCAATAATATGTTGAAATACTTCCCAGTGATGTTTTTGTGCAACCATGGTGAGGAACACTGGGTGGTGGTTTAGACTGGACTTGCGCCTCTCTTGAGTCTCTCTCCTTTACAGAGCTTTCTCTGTGTAAGTTTCACTGCTTACAGTTTCACTGTCATTCTGAGCAGGGAAATTGGGCTAATTAAACAAGATCTGTGTGTCTCAGTAAAATGAGGATAATAACCTCTCCTTGGGTTGTTGTGGGGATTAAATATGATCATGAATGTCAAGTGCTTAGCATAATGTGTGGTACACTTTGTTCAACAAATGCTGACTATTAATAGTACTTTTCATTACCAAGGAAAATACTTTGAGTTATCCAAGGGAATAAACAAGCTAAGGGATATGAATACATAACATATGGCACATTAGAAAACAGGACTTACCACATATGGCATATTTCTACTCCTCTTAAACTGGACATCATCTGGGATTGAATATTAATGCCCAGATCAGCCTGAGGGCTGGACATTCCGAGAAGCAAGACTTCTTATTCAGTGCTGACCTAAAGCACTTCATAGCATAAGGTATTCCCAGTCATTCCCAATCTCTATCACAAAGTAAGATGTCCAGTTCCCCAGCAGAAGCACATCTACAAATGTTGTGACAGTAGGCACAGCCCCGTGTTGGGGGCAAGTTCCAAGGAGAGAGGAATGACTGTGACTTAGAGGTATCTTTATGATCATGAAAAAGAAAAAAAAGAATTATCTATTATTACTGTAGACCATTTTGTAAAGGCTCAGAGGAGTCCAGTAATGTAAAGGCTGAGTATTCCATCGGAACATTAGATGGGGCCATATTATGAAAAACTCAGTTATGATAAACTGAATAAGGTACTAGAGGAAAGGAATCATCAAATACAACAGGTTCTCATTTGAGAGAATGTGGGAAGTGAAAGCATACAGAGGAGTAGCAGAGAACTGAGTGAAAAATTAGTTTGATTGGAGACACACTGAGCAGATAAAAGTGTAGAACATTCCAAAAAGGACATCAAGCAAGGAGCTGGAGAGTAAGGGTGAGAACTCAAGATAGAAGCGTGGGCCCTAGGCCACCATTTGGGAGCCAGTAGAATGGATGTGCGTGAGTTTTCTGAGTGACCTGGTAGAAGAGAGGGCCAAGGATGGCACGCCACTCAACAGTATCATCACCGAGAAGTCAGTAAAGGAGACTGAGAAGTTGAGGAGAATTTTTTAAATGTGATTTTAAAAATGCAGAGAACAAGCAAGGGTAAAGAACTGCAGAGAGGATAAGTAAGTTAAAGGCAGAAAAGATTTGCCTTCTGAAGATCAGGACATCTCCTGTGACTTCAAAAAAGGGCAGAATCATTGGACTGACACATGGCAGGTGCTTCAGCTCCTTATGGATGCTCAGTATTTACTTATACCTTACATATGTTGAGTCTAATGTTGAGTCTAAGAAGTCCTGCTACTCGAAAATATTTTCCAACTAATCAGTTAATTCACTTGTCAATCATCCTTTTTCAATGTCTAACACAATTTTAGTCATAAAATACCTACTTCCATTTAGAATAAAAAAAGGAAAAAATATACTACCTACTAGAAAATTATTTTAAGTCTTAGAAAATTGGAAAAACTGTAGGCAAAAAACAAGAACATATTTTTAATCACAACTACAAGAGTCAAATATTTATAACTCAACACAAAACCCCTAAAAGTAACTTAAACTACAAACTTTAATAATGTAAACATCAATTATATTTTTATTTAAAATTTTATTAATGATAGTCTTAATCAAAATACATTAAATCTCAAATCAACCTGTTTTAGAATAATATGAGATGTTTTTACTGCATGTAATCAACAGTACAAATATAGGAATTATAATACATCTTAGTATCACTTATATTTACTGAATCAAATGTGCACAACAAAATAACCCTTCTTGAAAACTTCACAGATGCAGTTTTCATTTTATCAAATACAGTTCTCATGAGCATAGCTAAACTAAAACTTAACAGTCTGTTCACATGCCTAAGGCTAAGCAATAAATTAATCTTATTTTTAAAATATATAAGAGCTTGAACAATTTTCTTTTTGAGTTTGATAAGCTAAAGACTTGTAAGGAATATTTAAAGGCTGAACAGAATCCAGTGGCAACAAAGTTAAATGAGGAATTTGGGAAGAAACTAACACTACAGTGTTAATAGTATAGTATTGCCAGGTTCTAGGTTTCCTGTGCACAACCAGATCAATCTGGACATCTTCAACATGTGAATATTGAATTTACTAAAATGTTATACTGTCCCTAATTATATTAGTACTTGATTAGAGTGCTTTTTTGGTAACAGTTTCTTTTCTTTCACATAGGGACTTTAAAGGAATCCAAACACATAACACAATTTTTGGAAAATACATTAACTGTAGAAATGTCCACAGTTATGTGGTGGTATGGTAACTGAAATGGTATGGCAGAGTGAAATGTTAAAAGGAATGGCCATGTGAAATATGAAAGGAAGACCAGGTAACTTTTCATTCAAAACCTTAAGTAATAATACAGAATACATGTGAGCTCGTTACTTTACGTATCTGTTATAACTAGGAATTGCTACCTTTAAATATTCTTTCTTTCAGTACTTATATGTGGATTGCCTATAGCTGACAGACACTGTGCTAAGTTCTATATGTATAAAATAAGGTCCTCAGCAAAGATACGTTGGTCTAGGAAGTACTTGTTATATTCTTACAAATTGAATTAAACATAGGTTTTGGAACCAAAGAGATTTTTTTCCAAAAAGTTAACTTTCTAATAAAAATGCTTATGTGCATAATTAGTTAAGTCAAAATTTCAGAGGCCCATACATACTCAAAAACTTTAAATTGCGATTGACTATTTAGGTTCATTATTTCATCAAATGCCTGTCTAATGTTTCCCAAAGTACATTCTTATGTGCAACATTTTTAAAAACGATGAAACACCTCATCTATTCTTGCATATCTCCTCTTAGTAAAATATGGAATAAGTTGCAATATTTTAATCTGGACAATAAAGACAATTTAAACTAACCCTATTATACATGTGAAACAGATGCCCTTAATTTTTAACACCATCCATGCATCAGCAAATATGAGGAGATGCAACTGTGACTGAATATGGAGGGGGCTGTACTTAATCTTCATCATCTCTTTGAAACGGTACTATATGAATTTCTTTGGCGATCCTTTCTGCTAATGTTTTACTACCTGCAGCAATTATTCTTCGTGACATCAAATCAAATGGTCCACCTAAAATCAAATCAAATATGGAAAATAGTTGTATTTTATACAAAAATAATTCCTTTAAAACCTGTAAAGCAATATATACTATCATCAATCATAAAATTTTAATGCTTTCAGTTTCCTTTTAAAAAGTCTACTCTGTCATATAATCATAATGTTTAAGCTTTAGCAATACATAACTGAGTTTCTAAGCACTTTTTTTCTGGTAAATACTAGGTTGGGTGGAAGGGGAGAATCTCAGTTATACCAATCTGAAAAATGTCATTCATCTTTTTTCTTTCTATTTCTTCTTTTTATTACACTTATTACCTATTACCTCTTTCACATTTGAGGGTCTATGGGGAGGAAATCTGAGTCCAAAGCATTTCATACCACTCTCTTTTCCATTTCCTTTCCTGTGTTAACTTTCGCCCAGATCACTAGTGAATTTTTTCACTTAAAAAAATTTCCCTCTTCACTTTAAAAGTTCCACCATCAGTTCAGAGCAAATATTTAACCTGTCTAGGCCCAAGGCAGGGAGTGATGGTGGAGGAAGTCCATCATCAACTACAAGCAGTTGCCACTCAAAGAGCTCTGGGTATAATCCTCAGATTCAGTGACCTTCTAGACTTTTCTATAGCCTCTTGAGAGCTCCTGATATATTTGAAGAGGCTTAGCCATGTATCATTATTAATCCCACACTACCATTTGCTTTTTATCCTTGCTCTGTCAAAGTTTGCTATATTGATTTTAGAGAAAATTACATGGTTTTGCCTTTAAGAGTTGATATATAACATACACTGAGCATCAAAAGAAAAGAGCCATATATGGAAGAAATCTGAGAGAAAAATGCTTTACTGTCCTATAATTTTACCTGTTACATCCATTAGGACTCCTCCAGCTTCAGTAACAATAATGCCAGCTCCTGCCATATCCCAGCAGTGAATTCCCATTTCATAATAGGCGTCTGCAACTCCGGTTGCCACAAGGCACATATTAATGGCTGCAGTTCCAACACCTCGGATCCTAACAAATATTAAAAAAAAAAGGCTGGAAAAAAATGATTTCTTCAAAGTAAGTATTCCCCCTTAACTTCAGTGTAAATGTTGATTAATTTGAACCAAACTAGAGGGCCAAGTAAAAAAGGCTATTTTCTAATTTTTAAATAAAAAATACGTAAAATCTCATATCATGATGTACTATATAAACCACAAAATTCAAAAGCAATTATTTAATAAGATAAACATTAAAACAATGATTTTTCAGAGGGAAAAAACAGAAGAAAATGCCATCATTTTACTATAATGGCATGCATGCATATTCATATTTGTCTAATCCTAGGGACTTATAGTCCATAGTACAAGTAGTCTCTAAGAAGGGTAAGACATGCCATTGGTCATTCCCAACTGTAAGCACACCCATATGTGTGACTACAAGAACAGCATGCCAAGGCCCTAGTTAGACCCAGAGGTGCTGAGGAAGATTATTTCAGGTTTGCTTTGTCACAGCACCTTTTCCCTGGAAATATACCAAATTAAGTATGGACACTACTTGACAGTCATTAGAATGATAACTGACTCAGGAGAGCATCATCAATAAATGCTAAAATGAGTGGGTAAAAAATTGTTATTTACAAAGTGTCAAAGTATCTCCCCCTAAAATAAACAGTAACTACAAATGGAAAAGATGGCATCTTTACAATAGTCTACTATTACCAAGTGATCTAAGTTACTATCACCAACAATGGGACAAAAAAGGGTATCATGTGCCTCCTGACAGGATGCACTTAGAAGGACACAACTTTACTTCGGTGGCATTCCTGCCAAAAATTCATAACACATGTTTTTCTTGTGAAGCCTTCATAAGAGTGTGTATCAATGATGATACATTAATAAAAAAATGCATAACACAAATTTAATCATGAGGAAACCAGACAAACCCAAATCAAGAGATGCACTACAAAGCAATTGGCCTATGTTTTTCAAGTGTAAAGATCATTAAAAAAAAAAGACTAATCATCTGCTGTAGCTTAAAGGTAATTGATAAGAAATAACTAAATGCAATGTATGATCTTGGATTGGGTATTAGGTCAGAATTTTTCAAAATTTGAATGAAGTCACTATATTTGGTAATCTATCAATGTTAATTTTCTGATTTTTGTAATAGTATTATGGTTATGTTAGCAAGTATCCCTTTAAATTAGAAAAATGCACACTGAACTATTTAATAGAATGAATTCATCATGTCTTCAAGGTAATGTATTTTCAAATGGTTCTTACTCAAATTCCTTTTATAATTGTTTAATCCTCTCAAAATAAGGCAGTGAGGTCTGCTCACTGAGATACTTTGTTTTTGTTTTTTTTTTAGAGGGCATCTCTCATATTTATTGATCAAATAGTTGTTAACAACAATAAAATTCTGTATAGGGGGGTCAATGCTCAATGCACAATCATTAATCCATCTCAAGCCTAATTCTCATCAGTCTCCAATCTTCTGAAGCATAACGAACAAGTTCTTACATGGTGAATGAATTCTTACATAGTGAATAAGTTCTTACATGGTGAACAGTACAAGGGCAGTCATCACAGAAACTTTCGGTTTTGATCACGCATTATGAATTATAAACAATCAGGTCAAATATGAATATTCGTTTGATTTTTATACTTGATTTATATGTGGATCCCACATTTCTCCCTTTATTATTATTATTATTATTATTATTTTTAATAAAATGCTGAAGTGGTAGGTAGATGTAAGATAAAGGTAGAAAACATAGTTTAGTGTTGTAGGAGAGCAATTGTAGATGATCAGGTGTGTGCCTGTAGACTATGTGTTGATCCAAGCTAGACAAGGGCCTTAAAACATCCACGGATGCAGATTTCTCTCAAAACAGGGGGGGTGAGGTTCTAAGCCTCACCACTGTTGATCCCCAATTTCTCACCTGATGGCCCCCCTGCGACTGTGCCTGTCTTAGGTTGTTCCTCCCTTGAGGAATCTTACCTGTCTCTGGCTAACCAGTCATCTTCCGGGCAGATCCTTTGGTTTTTAATGAAACAATGGGAAACTAATGCTCAGTGTAGAATTTGTTTTATATCTAAAAAAATCAAAATAAGATTATTGAAGGGGAGCCAAGATGGCGGCATGAGTAGGGCAGTGGAAATCTCCTCCCAAAATCATATATATGTTTGAAAATATAACAAATATAATTATTCCTAAAAGAGAGACCAGAAGGTACAGTACAACAGCCAGGCTACATCTACATCTGCGAGAACTCAGCACCTCACAAAGGGGGTAAGATACAAGCTGTGGCCCAGTTGGACCCAACCGCGCCCACAACCTCAGCTCCCCAGTGGGAGGAGCGGAGTCAGAGAGGGGAGAGAGTTGGAGCCCAGGACTGCTAAATACCCAGCCCTAGTCATCCACACCAGGAGTGCAAGTACACAGGGCGTGGTGTGCTGGATATTAGGGAAATGGAACAGTAAAACCTGCGAGTGGGTCCTCGCGGCCGGCGCCCCTGGGACAAAAAGCGAGTGCTTTTTGAAAGTCATAAAAGGACAGGAGCCTTACAGCTGGCCGGAAGCATCCTGGAACACTCAGCCCAGCAGCTGGGAATCCAGGGGAACTCCAGGCACCCTAAACCCCTGGGTGGCAGCACAGCCCTGAGGCCCCTCACGGGGATAAACAGCCGCCTGCCTGTTCTCCCTCAGGTATGACCCACCATAGCGGAGCAGCAGCGCAGAGAGCCACCTCCGCAGCCACCCGGGGCCAGACTCAGAGGCCCCGTTGGGGCACAGCTGACCAGCACAAGCCACTTAGGGGTCACCATTCTCACCAGAAGGAAAGGAGACAGGCAAGCAGGAAGGGACTTTGTTCTCCCAGCTGACAGACGTGCCAACCACCTATGACTACCTCTATTGCCATGAAAAGGCAGACGAATTTGATACAGACAAGAATAACCCAGACATCCCCTGAGAGGGGACCTGGGGAGATAAATTTAACCGATCTTCCTGAAAAAGAATTCAAAATAAAGGTCATAACCATGCTGATGGAGCTGCAGAGAAAAATGCAAGAGCTAACGGATAAAGTTGGGAGGGAGAATACAGAAATAAAACAATATCTGGAAGGACTTAAAAGCAAAATGGATGAGGTAATAAAGGTCATAACCATGCTGAAGGAGCTGCAGAGAAAAATGCAAGAGCTAAAGGATAAAGTTGGGAGGGAGAATACAGAAATAAAACAATCTCTGGAAGGACATAGAAGCAAAATGGACGAGGTGCAAGAAGCTGTTAATGGAATAGAAATCAGAGAACAGGAACACAGAGAACCTGACGCACAGAGAGATAAAAGGATCTCCAGGAATGAAAGAATATTAAGAGAACAGTGTGACCAATCCAAATGGAACAATATCCGCATGATAGGGGTACCAGAAGAAGAAGAAGAGAGAAAAAGGGATAGAAAGAGTATTTGAAGAAATAATTGCTGAAAACTTCCACAAACTAGGGGAGGAAATGGTCGCTCAGACCACACAGAACTCCCAATAGAAGGGACCGAAGGAGGACAACACCAAGACACATAATAATTAAAACAGCAAAGATCAAAGACAAGGACAGAGTATTAAAGACAGCCAGAGACAGAAAAACGGTCCCCTACAAAGGAAAACCCATCAACCTAACAACAGAATTCTCAACAGAAACCTTACAGGCCAGAAGAGAATGGCATGATATATTTAATGCAATGAAACAGAAGGGCCTTGAACCAAGAATACTGTATCCAGCATAATAATCATTTAAATTTGAAAGAGGGATTAAACAATTCCCAGATAAATTAAAGTTGAAGGAATTTGCCTCCCACAAACCACCTCTACAGGGTATTTTAGAGGGACTGCTCTAGATGGGAGCACTGCTAAGGATAAACAGATGTCACCAGAGAAAATAAAATCACAGCAAAGAAAGCAGACCAATCAAACACTAACTAAAGGCAAAAAATAAAATCAACTACCCACAAAAGCACTCAAAGGAAACACAAAAGAGCACAGAACAAAACATCTAACATATGAACAATGGAGGAGGAGGAAAAAGAAGGGAGAGAAATAAAGAATCACCAGACAGTGTTTACAATAGCTCAATAAACGAGTTAAGTTAGACAGGAAGATACTAAAGAAGCTAACTTTGAACCTTTGATAACCACGAATCTAAAGGCTGAAATAGCAATAAGTACATATCTTTCAATAATCACCCTAAATGTAAATGGACTGAATGCACCAATCAAAAGACACAGAGTAACAGAATGGATGAAAAAGCAAGACCCATCTTTATGTGGCTTACAAGAGACTCACCTCAAACCCAAAGATATGCACAGACTAAAAGTCAAGGGATGGAAAAAGATATTTCATGCAAACAACAGGGAGAAAAAAGCAGGTGTTGCAGTACTAGTATCAGACAAAATAGACTTCAAAACAAAGAAAGTAACAAGAGATAAAAAGGACATTACATAATGATAAAGGGCTCAGTCCAACAAGAGGATATAACCATTATAAATACATATGCACCCAACACAGGACCATCAGCATATGTGAAACAAATACTAACAGAACTAAAGGAGTAAACAGAATGCAATGCATTCACTTTAGGAGACTTAAACATGCCACTCACTCCAAAGGATAGATCCACTGGACAGAAAATAAGTAAAGACACAGAGGCACTGAACAACACACTAGAACAGATGGACCTAATAGACATCTAAAGAACTCTACATCCAAAAGCAACAGGATACACATTCTTCTCAACTGCACATGGAACATTCTTCAGAAAAGACCACAAACTAGGCTACAAAAAGA